GATACAAATTTTAGATAAAAACAAGAAAAATAATTAAAATGGCTGTTTTCGCTAAAAAATGATTAAGAGCTAAATGATTAATAACTGAAACCATATTATTAAAATGATTATTTTAATAATTTATTTAAAAACAATGGTAGAATATATGTAAGAACTAATGCTTATTTTTTTGTTAAAATGTATTTATCGACTGATCATTTGTTAATTTTTGTAGTTCGAAGAGCTTTTAAAGATTGTATTTATATTATAATAATTTATAATATTAAATTTAAGATAATTACATTAATGAGGAGTACAATATATATACTATATTATAAAGCATTTGACTAAAACTCCTAAAAACCATTTTTTATACATAAAGTACTGTATATTGATGCATATTRCTTAAAATTMAATATTACAAGTAAATTATGCATTAAGTACAACTTATTAAAGCTCAATGCTTGAATTCTAAAAAATAAAAAATCTAAAATATAATTAGAATAATTATCGAGTTTCTAACCGAATGTTTAATTATTATCTTTAATAAAAATTATATTATTAAATCAAAAATAAATTACTTTGTTATTATATCTAAGTTAAATTTTAATAAAAAATTGAATTAAAGAAGTTACAAAAAAAACGAAAACTATTAAATAGTTAATTTAATACTAATATCGATTTATTTTTTATTTTTTATGCTATCTTCAAATTCAAAAATAAAAACATTATCACTTTCTCAAAACCACATAAAATTATATTACATTGATAGAGACAAATAATAAAAATTAAACATTAAAATGAATATTTATCTTTCTGCATTGCACGAGTACCTTTATAGTGCTTAATAATATGCATTTAAGGGTTTTGAAAAAATAATGATGTGTATTTAAGAGTTTTTGTCAAATGTTAATTTAAAAGGTAGAGTATGGATATGGATAACAGTTTTATAAGATTGATAATTATCCATTTGGTTATCTGCTATTTTAAATGGATAAGGTAACAGAATAACCGTTACTCTATCTATACCCTTAACCGTTTTCAACCCTGATTTTGGTAGCTTTAAATATCTTAGAAACTCATAAACCAATTTTTTGTAAGTATTCATGATAAATAACGTGATAACATATTTATGATAAATAATATTCATCATAAATACTCAAAAAAATATATGTTTCTAAATAAATCTGTACTTAATTTATAGTATGATATAGAATTAGAAACATTAATTAAAATAACCATTTTCAGACTTTGAATTTATCTCTTAAGTCATTTCTCTCACAATATTTTAAAAATGTTACTACCTCTGCAAGTAAGCACTCCTCAACTTGTGTAGGGGTCAAAGTGTAATAAAAAAAGCTTCTGAACCAAATCCACAAGTGCATGTGTAAATTAGTCCAAACTTATGGAAGTGCCACTTACGAAACTTTATATGATTTATAGATTCGGTCACTGCACTTGGGGGCTTGGTTTATAATTTTTTTTTACATTTTGACCACTCCACAAATTAAGGAGCCGCTTACAAATAAGATGGTGATTTGCCCCGACTAAGTGGGGAGCCCGACTCACCCGCGGGGATTCGCTGCTAAAATGCGTCCCGAGACTGGGGGCTATTACTAAAAACCTGGGCTGGGGCCGATGATTATGAAACTCGTCTTATCCCCACCCCGTTGCCATGCCTACTTACGAAGGTAGTGATATTTTTGAAATTTAGAAAAAAAAATAGTCAAGAGATAATCCAAAACCTGAAAATGACTATTTCTATTAATACATGAATATTAATTTTTTTTATTAACCTGAATATACAACACGTTATGCGAGCCGACTAATCCCAGAACAACCACCTGTTTTGTAGATAGCCTGGAGTCACCGCATTTGAACCTCCGTGGCCACAAGAGCATTTTTATTCCTTTTTAGATTTGAACTTGGGACCTCTTGGTGCTTTTGACATTTGGAGCCAAGCTAATTTGTATATTAATTTTCTATTAATTTATTTTATCTATACTATATTATAAAACATTTGGCTAAAACTTTTAAAAACTCTTAAACCCGTTCATCTCTATCCGATTTCATCTCATATATGAATTCGTGTAA